GCGAAGTTTAACCCTCTAGAAGAGCGAGGGGTACTAGAACGCTGGGACCCTTTTTCCACCTGGATATCCACTCTTTTTTGCCCTCATGTCCCTCCGTCGTCGGACTAAACTCGCCCCCACTTCCTCACCGCCTCGGCCGTATCTAGACCCACAGCGTGTAGCACAGACCACGCTTCAATATTGAGCATAATTTAAAAATGTCTGTGTCACGCTCACTGCAACACACTGCTGTAAGAGTATAACCGGGAAGCGAGGTAGGAGGGCAAAATAGGTTTAGTGCCACCGCAGCACGGGAGGAGAATTACGCCCAGAAGCAAATGGATAAAAATAGATCGGAGGAAAAAAACAAAAAACATGAATCGATTCTCTTGCGGACGTATCGATGCATCGGATCGTCGGCTGTTGGGTCGATGCATCGATACAAAACGATTATTATTTACACCCCTGTCTACTGCGGTAAGTGATTATTTTGTTCCACTTTTCGAGTTTGAAAATTTAGCATGTTTTCATGCATTATTTGTTATGCATGTGTCTAAATAACAAAGATTGTAGTTAGCCAAGTTCTCGCCGTAAAGCAAGACCGACTCTGCGGGTGAAGGCCAAGGGCTCCTGCAATTGCAAGTACGGTATTTCCCCCACAGACCACCAGGGCGGCCGAGAAAACCTTTTGTTCGACCTGAAATGACTCATTTAATCATCCAAAACGTTATTGAACACATTAATTAACTGAAAAATGTTGCATAGTATGCCTTTAAAATGAGAACGCTGTGTATAAACTATTAATTTAAAGAAAAAAAGCAAACTTCACTGTTTAATCTTTGCTTGATTTCTCCTTTCAAGTGGCACTTCCAAATTTCACATTCTATCAAAATGTTTTTTTTTTTTTGTAATTCAGATGAAATCTCTAATGGTCGGCTGAATATTTGGTCTCCGTTAAATTTTATTTCCACCTACATATTGAAGCCATTAATGAAATTAAAAGACTTTAGTAATATAAGTATCTGGAAGTGGAAAAAAATAAAGAAAGCCTGAGAAAAAGAAAAAGACATATTTAAATGATAATTAATGCAGAGGAAAGATTATAAGACAAAAAGTGGTGACATAAGTCAACAAAAGGCCCCGAACCAGCAATCCCACGCCCCACAGGGATGCTCAGACATCTTTAGCGTAAAACCCATTTTCCTTATATGGCACTGACCCGCAGGTCCCGCCACAACAAGCTACTGGGCGACAAATCAAACATCCATCACTGAAGGGCAAACAGGGTGACCTCCAGAGGACTGTCCCCGTTTTACTGCATTTAGTTGCTCTATCCATCTTCAACAGAAACTGAAACTAAGGATTTGCCTTCACCTGGAGGCAGAAAGAACAATTCTTCAACCAGGTCCTGAGGTAACGGGGGGGCAGAAAGGACCAATGTAATATATGAGACAAAATCAGGTTAATAATGGCACTTTCTTTTATATTTAAAAAAAAACAAATATAATGTTTTTTATACTTTAAGTTGCACATGGAAGAGAGGAAATAACATGCAAGCTGACTGGAAGGTCAAACATCCTCCTCTAAAGTGGGATGTGGAGGTGAAAGAGTTAAAAAAATAAAAATAAGAAAATAATCTGGGATGTCTGACCTGTGGAAAGAAACTCAGTTTATTGGTTTTATCACCTCACTTCCATCCATGGCTTTCCAGATGACAGAGGGCCTTTGTGCATCTCTGAGGCATAAATATAACTATAAAAAAAAGACAAGGATAAAAAAAAACAAAAAATTTGGGAAAAAATGATAAAAGAAATAAAAGAAAAATCAGCCTTCCAGTCGGCTGCTCTGTCTTCTTTTATATTTGGGTTAAAATCCGTGCTGTTTGGTTTGCATTGAATACTTTTCTTCCCGTTTCAAGTGTCCCAGAAGAACAGGAGAGTTTTGTTTTTTCTTGTTGTCTGTACAAATGGTGGCTCTCCATCCGCACCTGGACGGTAAGTAAGTGTGCCGCGGGGGGGCTCGGCCCGCCGTGTGCTGTGGGGCTCATGTCACCAGTTGGCTTTAACGGCTTTGACGTCGCTCACCAGGTTCTGAGCGAGGCAGATGCCAAAAATCTGGAAAACAGCCGCAGAAGACATTAGCTGGAGAGAAAATAACGACGTCGACCATGAAAAAAGTGAAAAATGTGATGCTGTACTTTAATCAATTTAAACATATTCTAAAAGGGAATACATCAGTAATTTAATTCAATATGCAGGTTTATTGGAAACCTAGAATATTATGTCAGATCTGTAAAAAAAAAAAACATTTTTATTTATTTATTTTTTATTTATTTTTTAACAGTGTCCTGTCTGGCAATGTGGCAATAAGAATAATTGTCTTGATGCCAAAAAGAGCCCAACAGATTTTACTTTCACAAGTGGAGCAGTATGGCAATTGCCATATTGCTCCAATTGTTTGCGTATAAATTGCTTTATTATAATTATGCAGGGAGTTTTACAGTTTATATGGACACTGCTATGTAATTAGAGCAGAAAAACAGAAGAAGAAAAAGGAAAAAAGAAAAGAGAAAAGATGAAAGTAAGAGGAGATAAAAAGGAGACAATAAACCAACATAAAAAAAAAAACATTTTTAATAAATTAGGGGTTTGTTATGGTCTGAATAGTTAGAGAGGAAACCTTGCTGCCCTCATTGGTACTCTTAACTACGACAGCTCTTTGTTTTGTTGGTTGATCACAGAATGCTGGACTGAATTATTTTAAAAGGAAGTTAAGTAGAAGGAAGAAGTGAAAATGCTCCTCAAACATAAATACATGCAACCTTGAGAGGATTGTGAGAAACTGTAGCGTCTAAACACAGGGATAAATGTGTACCAAACATGTCCATGTCACCTTATAAAAAGCATTAGCTTCTGGCTGGAGGTCCGCTTTGCAAACCCACAGAAAACACAACAAAATATGCAAAGTAAATCTAATTTCCAATTAGCTTGGTTCTGCTGGAGGTTTCTTCCTATAAAAAGAGAGTTTTTTCTCTCCACTGTCACTACAAGCATGCTTAGTGTGAGGGATTACCATTGAGTTAATGAGTCTATACAATCAATTGGTTTTTTAATTAGGTAGAAAACTTTGAATGAATCTGACTGGATGATCTGGTGAACTGGAAAGTGCCTTGAGATGATGTGTGTTGTGAATTGGTGCTATAGAAATAAACTGAATTTAATTGAATTCATTTTTTTTCATTCAATAATTAAAGCAAATCTGGAAAGTGTTACAGGTTTATTCCAAATGGTACTAAATATATAAAATAAAACTGAGCACAATAAACCATCATGTTGTGGAAAAACTTTTTTTTTTTAGATTGTGCTAAATTATTAAAAAATAGAAAACCATAAAATCATATTTGTGTATTTAAGTATCCACAGCATTAGATTAATATTTTGTTGATCAAAAGACGATGATGGCGCAGTCTTAGCAGACAGGATGTTCGACCTTCTTCTCTGTGCAGAATATCTCCAGCTTCCTCTGGTTGGATGGGAGGTTTCTGTTTGCAGCCATTTTTAGGTTCTGGTTCCGAAGCCTCCTTTCGGACCTCGGCTGCTTCAAGGTCTGAACTACTGCGTGACGGAGCAGGTTTGCTACAACAGTCCTGCTGGTTCCAACCTCCTTCCCATTACCAATGATGGAGGCCTCTGTAAGATTTCAAACCTTCAATAAAGCCCAAATATTTCTGGAAACTCTCCAGATGTTGACATCCTCATGCTTGGTTTTGAAACATTGACAGGCGCTGTTAGCCGCAGGACCTTCCACAGACTAGAGAAACATCGAGACATCGGCCGGCTGATATTTCTGGATGATGTTTGTGATTCATCAGTGGATTCAGCAGCCATGTCTGGAGATCATATGAAGCGCATGCACTGCCCTCCATTTGCCATCTGTTGTTAAAGATTTGTTTGATTTGTTTACAGCTGTTCCTTTTTTTTCTTTAAATTTGAACTTTTTTTATATTTCTTATTATTATGATATCACTTTTATTATATAAATTGGAAAAGAACAAACAAAATCAGCTTCAAAATCATTTAAAAAACCTGCGTCAGCCTTAAAAAGCCTGGATCTCTTAATGGATTAGTGTTTTCCTTTCCCAGTCCGGTCCAATCAGTTGGATTTACTGTGGATGGACTCACATTTTAAAAAATGATGATTAGTGGAAACATCATGCAGCTCAATTCATTTATGAACTTCATGGAAAAGGCCGGGGATACTTACAAAAAACTTTACTTCTATTTTTTAAATATTATATTTGCAAAAAACGTAAAGAAAAAACATTTGTGTTGCATAATAATATCGACTAACATCTATTTAACGCTATTGTATTCATAAACTATTCAACAAACTGTTGAAAATAAAATAAAAAAAACATCCATTATTCAATATGATAAATTTTTCAAACTTAATATAAACAAAAATGATTAAAAATATTTTATGAAAATAAAAACAGATGAACTTTTTTCATCAATGCTTCTGATTTTCTGATGATTGTGCAAATTAAAATGTTACTTTTATTTTAGATTAATCTACCTGTGCAATTTATGTTGTATAAATTGTAATTTTTAAGTTGATTAGTGAAATAAATGAACTTTAACCTGATTTGCTCATTTATTGAGATGCAATTCGCTGTAACCTCCCAACTCTTTGGAACTGGGAGATAAAACCAGTTTAACTGCAGTGGCCTGATTTTACACACATTCACCACCGAGTGGCAGTAATGACAAAAAAAATAAGGAGAATAATCACAACACATCTAATGTGAGATAAAAACAAACACAGAAATCAAAGGAACCTGAGGTAATCCAAAGTGAATGTTGAAAGGACGTTACCTGTAAAAGTGCAATGCCAACAAAGATCCCAGCAACAAAAATCAGGTTGTCCTGAAGCCACTTTTCAAACTGTCCCACGCAGCCCTTGGTGTAAATGAATTTCTGCCGTTCCAGCTCCTTTTCACACAAAAACAAAAAAAAAAGCTGCATGATTAGAATAACACAACACTTTGGACAGATGAAACTCTCATTTCCCTGCATATCTGGTGGAGACGGAGGACTTGAGCCATCTTGGATTTATCTTAAACATCTGAAGTCAGACCAATAACAACAGCTGGCCCAAACAAACAACCCAGGAAGTGTTCTGCCCACTGATCCCTGAGCAGTGTAAGATGCCATGCCACGGTATGAGAGCTGAGTCATGCTTGATGACCACATGGAAGGACGGATTGGAGCAAAAGAAGCCAGTGTACACATGCCTGCTGAGGACCCAGCCTGGAACAGGCAAACAGTGGGAATCTTTTTCCCAATACCAGACAGATGGTTGTCTGTGTGTCATCATCCCAGCCTGTGATTCACACTTAGAAAGAGAAAGGTGTAATTTACTGCTGCCACGACTCCAAAGGGGGGTGGGGGTGCCTCCATACAAAGCTTCCTTTGTGACTTTTGTCGAGTCAACTAGGAAAATTCTTTGTTCCCGTTAAAAACCCCAAAACTGTTTTTGAACCACTGAGTAGGAAAAGAGAGGCTGGTGTTAACCAGTGAAAAAATATCATGTTTTGCATGTGAACTTCCTCTGAAGCTATTTCCGCTCCCTGCCTTTTGTTTCCCTCCCCCTGTCCTCCACACGTATCCTGCTCTTCCCCATTCCCCACCCTGCTCTTCCTGAGGCAAGCTGCGCAGGAACCGTCTGCACATCCCTGATAGTTTCACCGGTCAGCGCCAGAGCACGGAGAAAATTAATCCATATCAACTCTGTGGCAGCTTGTTCACAGTACGGCGGTTTGCCTAGCAACAGCAATCTCTTTGACTGCAGTGCAGAGAGTTGTAGCCACCGCACCCACGCATGGCGGAAAAAAGGAACGGACTGGCATAACCCACAGAGCGGCCAATTACAGAGTGGAGTAAGGCTGCTCTCTGGGCTAAAACTGGAGCCTAATTATCCCTGTTAGAAGAACAATCTGTTATTAAAGGCAAGAGGCATGCACGAGAGTCAGAGTGCTTATAAACCCTTTACATTCCCTCCATCTGCTAGGCTGCCTTCCTGCTATGATGTTTACGGATCCATTTAAACATAAAGAATCCTTATATTCAGATTTGACCACCTTTCAATGCTGTGCGGATAATCAGACAATTAGAAGAGTTAAGATTATCTAACTAAAAAAACCGAAAGGGCGGTCAAGATACGAACCTGTTCACGCCGAACATCATAACCACACTGCGTGTTAATGACATCCTCCTACAAAGAAAACAAACACATTGATTTCAGTTACTTTAAGGTTGCGTTTTTGGTTGTTGTTAAAAAGTTTCCAAAGTTTGAACAATTCAGAACTTAAAAAAAAGGGATTTCTAGATCAAGGTTTACTCCAGATATTTTTCGGATTAGGATTTAAACAATATGATAAAGTTGGCTAAGAACCACAAAGTTTCTACTAAGGATGCAACGAAATTTCGGCCACTGAACAGTTTTGTTTAAAAATCACTGAAAAGTGCATTTTCTTTTTTTGACGGATAGACATGTAACACCTAAACAGTACGTCCAACTTGGGGAGAAAAAGATTGGAAGCAAACAGCACGGCCAATATGCAGAAACCTTGACAAGCACAAAGAAAAGCACCAAAGCAAGAGAGCACAGGTAGGGAAGTAGAGTTTATTAGAGTTGAGCTTTTGGCAGACAGTCGTATGTCTGCTTGTGTCAGGAGAGCAGATTCAGTTTACCGTATTTTCGCGACTATAAGGCGCATATAAACGTCTTTTTTTTCCCCCTCAAAATGTGCGGCGCGCCCTATAGTGAGGTGCGCCCTATGTGTGTTGTTACGGCGGACGTTGTTGAGACCACCATGAGAACGTTAAAGAGGGAAGTGTGGACAGAGATTGTGTATAAAAGAACAGGTATGTGCTTTATGCAGAACTCCTCATCTCCCCATTGAGGAGATGATGAAAGAGTGGCTGAGGGAGGTGCATGTAAGGAGACCAGGTGGTTTTTTCCACTCATCACCATCACTGTTAATCTGTGACTCCATGCGTGCCCATCTCACAGCCGATGTGAAAAACAAGGTGAAACAAATGAACGCTGTGCTCGCTGTTATTCCGGGAGGTCTGACAAAAGAACTTCAACCGCTCGACATCGGTGTGAACCGGCCGTTCAAAGTAAGGCTGCGAGCGGCGTGGGAGCGATGGATGACCGACGGAGACCACAGTTTCACGAAAAGTGGAAGGCAGCGCCGGGCAAGTTACGCCACAGTTTGCGGATGGATTGTTGATGCTTGGACTAACGTTTCTGCTGGCTCTGTTGTTCGAGTTTTGCAAAAGCCGGCATTATTTCTGAGGAGCCGCACGGCACGGAAAGTGACTCTGACAGCGAAGAAGGGGAAATTGGCATGTCTGATTTAGCGCAGCTGTTTAATTCAGAAACAGAGGATGATGACTTTGATGGGTTTGATTAATACTTTGTAAAAAATACATGAATAAAGAACAAACATACTCAGTTTTGCTCCCGCTCTATTTTTAAATACGCAGTAGAGGTATTTAAATGTAGTAGGGGACATGTACCGGTATATAAAACCCGCGCCCTATATGCGCCTTATGTGTGTGTTAAATACAGAAATGGCACACATAACTGAGACTGCGCCTTTTAGTACGGTGCGCCTTATGGTCGTGAAAATACGGTACTTAATCCAAACATGCTCATAAATTTAGTTGGCCCTTTCCATCGCCATGTCTAAGGACGCCTTGCGCCTCTAGCCAAGCGGCATAAATGGAACCACTACACATGTAGGATCCTCCTTAAACTTATGATTAAAAACAAAAACTAATTTAGGACAGTGCTGAACCTAGCATTTACAAATTGTGGGAAAATGTTTAAATGCTGAATTTTCAACCTAAATTTGACTAACTTAAAAAAAAGCTAACCCTCATTTTAAATTATGCAAGTCTGCCCTATCCGGTAGTTTCAGCATGGGGACCATTTTCCTTCTACTATTGTTTTGATTAATTTTATTCTAATAGTGCTCCAGATTTAAACAGACAAGTAAGGTATGGAAGAACATGGTGAAATTTCACGCTGGTCCAGTCTGTTCAATCGCTGTTCAATGAAAAATCTGCATATTTTTTGGGTCGTGTTCTTTGAGAAATCATTTTGACAGCGAGCAGAGTTTTTTTTTTTTTTTTTATCTATTTTTGATGACTGCGTCTGACAGGAAAAACATTTAAAATTTTAAATTTTAATCCAGAAATCTGTGAACTGCTAATTTTTTTTACAAATGAAACAAAGTGCTTTTCAATCCAACATATCTAGCTTTGTGTGATGAAGTTTAACTTTCCTACATAAGCCAAATGAACTCCCTGACCCAGAGAAGAAAAAACAAACTTAAACTTTGCATTTAAATCCTTGGTAATGGGGGGGAACTCCCAGTTGAATCACTAAAATTTAATAAGGTTATTATTCCAGAGAAACATTGTTTTCTAACACTAATAAGTGACTCACGGCAGGATCTTTGACACAGCAGGAGAAGGGGACTCCACAGCGCTCTCTACTGGGATTCTTGTTAGTGCAGTTGAAGTACATGTTCTGGTTCCAGTCGTCAGGCCCATGAGCTCCACAGCACAACCACTGAAACGGCAGAAACATAAAAAAAAAATCCTGATCTAAGCTCTTCAGCTCACTTAGAAAGGCAGTTTACTGTGGCTGGTGGGATCTACAAGAACCCCCCCCCTCTCCTCCAATCAACCACAGATCTAATCTCTGTGACAATATTTCAGGGCAGAGCCTGGAGTTTACACATAAGAGCCGAATAACTGAAACATGTCATCATCTAATTGGATAATGAAAACATGGAATTACATTAGAATTAATTAAGATTTTGTTCTTATGAAAAATGCCCTCGGTGCCGAGTGCTTCGCTGATCTCAAGTTACTTTATGAAATGAACATATAAAACAAGCTTTCACAAGAGGAAATAGAGGCTTTCCAGTCTGCAGATGAGTAATGCCTTGGGGAGGAGGATCGGTTCTCACAAGGATTTCAGTCAGAGGGTGCGGTAACTCACATATTCCTGGGCGAAGTCGATGAGATTCTGTAAGTCGATGTCATCCCGGTAAGCCTTGATGTTGTTGTTGATGAAAAAGTTTAGCTGGTCTTTGATCCAGTCCTTGAAGACGAAGGCGAGGATCCCCGCAGTCAGCTCCAAGAAGAAGATCAAACCGAGGAACACGGAGAACTGCAGAGGAAGGGACGCACACGGCCATAAACAATACCTCAGTCACAACAAAACAAATAACTCCACCTTATGGAGATGCAAAGATTGTGTTTTTTTTTTAACAAATTAGAAAAAAAGCTTTGATGGTCTGCCATTCTTTATGTCTGGCTGTGGCGCCTGAAGTGATGTGACAAGCGAGAGTGAAGCAACAAAGGCGGCGGTCCCTCAGGTACAGTTACATTATCCATTTACAGTAAAAGCAGGAGACGGGGCTGATGATAAATGCACAAAAGCCACATTAGCTTCCCAGTCTGACGCCTGACTTATTGCCGCTAATGGACATCTGCTGGAGTCAGTGGATGTTCAGAATGGCAGCCAGCGATGAGGCTAATTTTTCTCTGTTACCCACACAGCCGTCCCCAAACAAACCACCTCCGTGGTAACGAGGCGGTCACAGAACATTCTTCTCACTGCTTTTTAATGGGACGGCATTTAGAGCATATTTATGATGTGTAACCGCTCTGAGCATTTGGTGTCAAAGTGACACCTGCTTCCCTCACAGCACCAGAGCTGGTGTGAACCTTACATCTGAAGGGGGGGCGGAGGGCTGTCAACTGGGGCAAATGGTGCATGTGCTTCAGAATCAGAGAGACAGCTTACGAATTTAAGCAGGAAGGTGTTTTCTCTGAGCGCTCCGATGCAGCCGGCGAAGCCCAGGACAAACATGACCCCTCCCACGACGATGAAGAGCCAGACGGGGTCAAAGCCTCCGAGGTCTGTGATCGATGACAGATTTGACAGGACGCCCTGAGGGAAAGAGGGACAAACTGATTAAAGTGAAATACTAACTTGATTCTCTACAGGGACCTTCTGCAGCCTTCACAAAATCCTATATAAAAAAAAAAGGAAAACAGTTGTTACTGTTGTTAACATCAAATACTGTTGCCTCATTCAGAAGTTTTCAACCATATTTATTCAACTTTCACTGCTGATAAAAATAAAAGAAAGGGACGTGTACTTTCAGTGTCTTAATACAGTCCAGTTAAAGGAGAATACCTTAAGCTGGGCATACACTGAAAGATTTTTTCAATTGTTGCATGAAGCTACAGCTCACAATGTACAACGGAACTGCAGGCTTTAAAAGTTCACAGCTCACCACGCATGTTCTCATACTGTGCGGCCCGACGCTCTTATGCGATCTACCTGCTCACACTGTACGTCTAAAAACCACGTCGGATTCAGCTCTGCAGCGAGATGGCGCTACTCAGACTCGTCTATCTGGAAGCAAAACGAGTAGAAGAGGAAAAAGACGGAAGTGTCGATGCCTCCTGTTGAATATGAAGCTCACTAGAGAGAAATGTCCTGCTTTGGCAATTTCTCCAATTTTGTGCTGAAACCGCTGAGCAAACGTGGATACTATGGTCTGTCAATTTTTCCGAAAGAACTCCA